GTGTGTGTGTGTGTGTGTGTGTGTGTGTGTGTGTGTGTGTGTGTGTGTGTGACCGTGCGTGTGTGTGTGAGCTTGTCTGTGTGTGAGCGTGTGTGTGTGTGTGTGTGTGTGTGTGTGTGAGAGAGAGAGCAATGCACACTTTGAGGTTTAGGGTTTGTGTTTACCAAAGCAAATGCGGCCTGCACACTGGTACGGTACGGCAAGCTCGTGTGTTCTGGATGGCAAGGCAAATAGATTTCAGTTGAAGGAGTGGTGTGTTTACAGAGCGCTACTTCTTCAGGTGGTGAGAGCCTTCCATCAAGGATGGTGTGGAGGGAAGTGCTGGTCCTCCTTTGGGATGGACTTCCTTTGGGATGGACTGGCGCTGCCCGCTTGAACTCTCTGCGTGCCCTTATATATTTTGGCAGTTGTATGTTCCATATTTTATGGCGGTTCGCAATGGTGTTTGCCCCTTTTTCTTTCCCATTTCAATCACGCTGCTTTTTCATCTCTGGGCATGCTAGGTTATCACTGTAGTTGAACACTTCCAAGCTGTTAGTTAGTGAAGAAGAAACCAGAATATGGAAACAACGGTGCCAGAAATAGTCAAATAGGGGTATGCATCCTTTTTTTAAGGGAATATAAAAGCTTTCTCACGACCCTCCACTGACTCGCTTTGTCTGGGTGTTTTTCGAGCAAAAATGGCATGCGGGTGCATCCCACTAGACATGGTTCATTACTCGCCGCGTTTGAACTTCTTTTTGTTGTCATGGTCAATTTGGGAATGGAGGCATTTAATCCGGTCTTTTTTTTTGACAGCAGACTGTTAATTCTGCAATGACAGGCATGAGCATGTGCTCACAAATGATTGGCTAACCATGGACGTGCACCTGCTAGGGCCACAAAGGTTGTGTGTGCAGCAGGCTTCTTTTCCGTTTTGGCCCTAAAGAGATGCGAGAAGTTAAAATGAACCTCAACTTGAAATCCCCTCTGGTCTGGGAACTTTCTGGCATCCCTCTGTCAGACAGCTGTACGACTATGACCCATGCTGTGTTCAGGTCACTGAAGTTGCGAACTGGATTTGCAGACTTTGGATCATGCCGCCAGCGTTTCCATTTGTGACTTCGCCACCCATGCAGCACAATTGACGGATTTACTGCCCACGGCTCTGTTTCTTTTTGTGTGCTTGTGTGTGCCGTGTGTGTGTGCAGGATAGAGAGAGAGAGAGACTCTCTCTCTCTCTCTCTCTCTCTCTCTCTCTCTCTCTCTCTCTCTCTCTCTC